GGCCGCCTGCGGGGGGGTGCCGGCGGGTGCGAGTCTTGAGCGGCGGGGGAGAAAAGTCTCTGAATTGCACTGTCCCGGCCGAACGCTGTCTGCTTGCACACACGCCTTTTTTCAGCTGCTTTCCTTTCAAAATACCACTGTGTTCGGCTCAGGACGTGCCAGGGAGGTGAGCTCTGCTGGTCGTGGTGAAGGCGGTGGCGGAGGGGAGACTTTGAGATTCTTCCTGTTCCTCTTCTCCTCCTTGAGGTTTCTGTTTGGACGGCGGGGGGGGGGGGGCGGATTTCTGAGACCCCTTTCCTGACGGCTGTTCCCCTGGTTAGTTAATAGGGTGGCAAAAATACCACTTGTCTGGCTGAGTTGTCCTGGGCAGTATTTGCTGAGCAAATAACCGCCCTTCTTGCGTGAGCCCAGGTGAGTTGAGAAGGAAGTGAGTACTGACTGTCAGAGATTTGGCAAGTGGGGTGGGTGGGGACCCACGGCCTCCTAAAACTGTAGAAGTGCTGGCGAGATCCCACAGTCCTGCCAGCCTCAGCCAACCAGCCCCCCTGCCCCCCCCCAGGGGCCCCATGCAGCGCTTACTAGGGGCCGCCAGCATCTGCTGGGTTTGGGGGTCCCAGACATTGCTCAGTTAACAGCCCCCCCCTCATTTTCCTGGAGCTTGGGAGCCAGTGGCCTGGGATCCCCAGTCAGAGGCTCAGCTTTGGGGAGAGAGGAAGTGCCTACATTGCAGATCCCTGCAGTGGGTCCTCTCCCTGAGGTGGGCCAGGTCTGTGGAGAGCCTCAGGGTCGGGTGCTGGCAGCCAGAGGGACGTGGCCCAGGGACAGGTGTGCTGCTTTCTGTCTGGGCAGGTGGATGTGTAGGTGGGGCACTTACGCCAACCACACAGCTCCCCCACCCCCACTCCGGTCCTCTTTGTGTACACCTGGGGGGCCCTAGATGGCTCCCGGATTAAGGGATCCCCAGCTAAGACACCTTGGGGGATGGCACATGCCACAGCTCTGAACTGGGAAGGGGTGGCCAAGTTCTGCGCCGCAGCTTTGGAGAGTGGTTACTCCAGCCACCTTCCAGATGTGTACCTGCCCTGCCAGGTGGGCACAAAACAAAACCCTGACTGTGGTCTCCAAGGCCTTGCATGCTGGCCTCTTGTGCCAGCATATTGGCCCCTCTGAGGTTTTCTTCTGCCTCGCGGCCTCTGGATCTGCTGTCCCCTCTGCCAAGGTTGTTTGGAGCCCTCGTGTCTCAGCACAGACATTACTCAGGCCCTCCCTAGTAACCTTCTGAAGCAGCACCCCTTCTTCCCCACCCGCCCATCTCTCACTTCCCTTCCTGTCAGTGACCACTCTCTCTGAAGGCATCTAGAGATTGGCTCTCTTTTTTGGCTCTCTCCCCACCAGAACTTGTAAGCTGGAAGAGAGCAGGCACCACGTCTGTCTTGTGTGCCCTCCGTGAGGTCCCCATGCCCCATACGTGTTTGTGCAGTGAACAGGTGAGAGGAGAAATTGCTTTTGAGGAAGGTTGTGCCAGAATTCACTGCACCCCTGCTGAAACGAGCCCGCAGCAGCCTTGGCCACACCCCTCCGGCAGCGGGGATACTCAGTGCAGCCTCGGGTGTGGGGGCTTCTGCAGACTCTGAGCAGCCCCGGTCAGGCCATAGTGAGACTGAGTCTGCTGTCGTCTTGGTATTCACCCAGCCACGTCACCATGCACCTTTTTCTGCCCTACTGAGCCAGGGAGGGACCCGCCTGCCTTGGAAAGTACGGGGCTTCTGCACAAGTCATAACTTCTAGATTGGTTCTCTTGTTTGGGCTCATTTCTTACTAAAGTGTAATGGTTTTCCCCAGAGTTCAGATAATTCGTCAGGACACTGAATGTAGCACACAGTGAACATGTACCTGACCAGGCACGATTCTGAGTCTGCTTGTCCTCAGACTCCACTGTATAGATGGGGACACTGAGGCCCAGTGCCATGAACATCAAGCCTCCCCTCCCTGCCCAGTGTCAGAGCTTTGCCAGGGCTGCCGTGGCATGGGGATGTGAGCAGCTGTCACCCCCGGGGCATAACACCCAAATGTCAGGTGTAGACTTGGCTCAGGAGGTTTGAGAGTGCCAGGGTCCACGAGTCCTCCTTACCCTTGTCCTGAGGGTGCAGCCTCCCCCGCCCCCCGTGCCCCAGGCAGGTCCCTGACCCCACCCTTCCAGCACCTCCCTGTGCACCTGTGTTTGCCCCGAAGGGGGGATGAGTCTCTGTCTCGGGTGGCTGAGAGGATCACAGGCCACTTCTGTGAAATGCTGGGGACACACACATGTGACAGTGGTGGTGTTGGCTGAGGAGAGGGCTCCCAGGTCTGGCCAGGTTCACAGTGTGTCCAAGGCCCTGGGCATGGAGTTGGACGGCTAGAGCTTGCTGTTTGAGCTGAGGGGGTGCAGGGGCCGTGGGCCGGGCAGGGGTTGCACATCTGAGCGCCGGTCCTCCGTCAGCTTTCTCACTCTGTTCAGCAGGGTGGGAGCAGTGAGCAGGTGGCAGCACGGCGGTCTTGTGGTGTGGTGGGGGGACAGGGGCGCCTTTCCTCTGCTCTCATTGACCAGGAACACTGGGGACAGGTGAATGTTTCTTGCTGTCCTGGTTCCTGTGACATCTTTGTCTCCAGAGGTGACGGCAAGGCCCTTGGGGGACAGGCCAGGGCAGAACTGAGGTCCTCCTGACCCTTCCTCCCTAATGGCAAAGGAACCTATGGCCACAGGTCAGGTTGTGCCAGCCCCTGGGTCTCCTGGGAGGTCCACTTTGCAGGCAGAGCCTGGGTGAGCCCAGCAGACCTACTGTGCGCCTCCCAGCCCTTCCATCAGGGGTGCGTGCACGCCTGGGCCCCAGCGCTTCCCCTTCAGGCTCTGTCTGTGCGCTGCCCACCTCTCGAGAGGCACGCGTACGCGATGGAAACCACCCTTCTGGTTTGGCGTCTGTGTGGTGCTTTGCTAATTTGCTTCAGAACAGCGGGACACTTTCAGCTGGTTCAAAGATCGGTATCAGTGAAAAGGTATATCTCGAAAAAATGTTCAGTTCCAGCCTTGATCTCCTGCAGTAACTACTCTGGCCAGCTTCTGGCCTTTTTGGAGTATGTTGTGCAGATAGAACCACACAGGCTTATAGTCTTGTATCCCTCCTTTTTCTGCTGAAAGAGAGGGTTACGTACTACCTCTGTACATGTGTCTAGGAAGCATGTATCCAGGAATAAAAAATGAAAAGGAAAACACCCAAAGTTTTAGCTGTGGTAACGGGTGACTTTCTGTCTGTAATTCTGTTTCCCACACAGATCACTACACGTTAACTTTGATAATTCATAAAACGGACACCTAAACCCAGACGTGACCTGCTGCACACAGTTGTGCTTGAGAAACCCTGCCCTGGCCTCCCAGTGGCCACATCAGCAGATGAATGGCTGTGTGGGCTGGTGGTCCTGGCCTGGCTGCCCAGCTCCCAGCTTTGGGTGATGTCAGGGGCGTGCTGTGCATTTCTGCTGGAAATGACCAAGTTCTTCCCAGTCTTAGGACACTGGGGCTGGGGCCGTGGGCCTCGAGGCACGCAGTGGAGGCTGCCTGAGTCCTGATGGTGGTGGCCCTGTAGGGGGGCCAGAACTCCCTCAGGCCCATGCAGGGGGCTCAGTGGTAGTAATTTCTCTGCAAGCTGGTGTTCAGTGTCCCCCCGGGCAAGGGGCACATGATCATGCTAGGTCTGGTTGCTAAGGGTCAGGAGTGTGGGGGGCCAGGATGTGGCCCTCTTGTCCATGTGTAAAAGCCTACACTGTTGGTCCCGCCTGTGGAGGCCTTGATCTGGGGGGCTGTATGTGTGCCCAGTCCAGCCCTCCAAGGAGGGGGACAGAGGACCGTCACTGCTGAGAGGAGCTATCAGCTGGGAGTGTCCATGCCCACCAGCCAGAGCACCTCCAGGCTGCTCTCTACTCTCCAGATGGGGAAACTGAGGCCCAGAGAGCAGGAACACTTACCTGCAGTCATGGAACGGAGGTACGACACTGAGCCTGGAACCTGCCTAGGCCAGCATTGGTCTGCTCCCTTATTCTGCCTAAGGGCTGCTGTGGGGAAGGGGCTGCTCCCTCCAAGGGGTCCCCGCCAGCCGATGAACACAAAGCCGTTGCATAGCCTCCTCCGCCCGCCCGGGTGGATGTCTGCTACCTTGCCTTGGCAGCAGCAGGTTGCTGATGGTGGGGTGGGAGCCTGGACTGGGCTCTCCTGTTGTGTGGGTCAGTGCTCTGCTGTGATAAGGCATGTCATGGGAGCAGGGGCGACATTGACTGCTGCTGAGGGCACTGTCCTCACACACCCACTTGGTAGTTGAGGAAACTGAAGCCGGGGTGGAGTTCTTGTCTGGGATCCACCCACCATAGCACCAGACAACAGAAATCTCGTGAGTCTTCACCCAAACCTGGGTCGCGTTTTCTGGATGCTCTTTGGGAGGAATCTGAGCTTGAGCAGAGGGGACAGTGGTCTCCCTAACATCTAAGGGGGTGGCCTTTCCTGGGCTGCAGGAGCAACAATAGGAGCTTGTGCTGCCCTGGGTCAGCTGCCTGACCTCTGGTGAAGGCCCCTCTGAGCATCGTGGGCATCGAAGATGGTCTGCAAAGCCTGCGGCTACTCACGGGCTGGGAGCAGTCTGCTCTGTCCCTGCACGCCTGTCATGGGCCGTGGAGCCACAGGGTGAATGCTCACACGCTGTGGCCCAGCGCAGTGGAGCCATGGTCCTCCTGATGGTGGCCCTGTGTGTCTGCGAGCCAGCTTGTTGTCCCTGGCCTCCATCACCTCAGGCCACTCCCCTGCTCCTCTTTGGCTGGGATCACATACACAGTGCTTGTGGCTTCTGGGCCTCAGTTTGTCTGTCTCTCCTGCCCACACTGTGTCCCAGCATCTGTGAGGGCTGTGTGGGACTGATGGCGGCAAAGGAGGCAGACCCATGTCTCCCCACTTCCACCCTTCTACTGAGTGCCTGGAGGCTGCACCGCACCTCACTGCGGGTGAGGTGGAGCCTCACCTCCCAACGGGTTGGGTTTGCCCAGACTGGGCAGCATGGCCATGGGGGCACTCCTGTGGCAGGCCACAGCGCTCCTTTCCTCTGCCCCCACTCTGAGTTTCTAGACAGTCTCAAGTCCACAGCAGGTGCGTGGGTGTGGTAGGTCCATGTCCCAGGTGTGTGTGCACGTGGGAACACACATGTGTGTGCTGTGTCCTTGCTGGGGTACCTGTGTAAACCTCTGTGTTGTGTATGTCTGTGCTCCAGACCCCATCCGGGGCAGCAGCTCTGTGGCCTGGACAGAGCAGAGGACAGGCCTACATGTGACCCTTTGGTCACACACGGTGAAACCCCATCCTGTAGGTCAAGGATAGGGCCTCATGTCCTCTATCCGTTGTCCTGGGCCCACTGCAGGACAGTCACCCCCCGACACACACACACACCAGAGCAGGCAGCAAACGCTCGTGAGTTCATAGAACTGGCCTCTGTCCCCAGCACCCCTTTAGCTTCTTGGGCCTGTCACTGGTCTAAACTTGCAATTCAGTACTTGCTCTGCTGTGGCCCCCTTCATGCCCCACTGCAGCCCTCACTCCTGTAGCTCCAGCCACATCTAGCCCCCCTTTCCAGCACTCCTGTTGGAGAATCCTCAGACATGCACATGGGCACACTTCTGGCCCTTGCTAACTGCTCTGTCCCCTGCCCGGAAGATTCTTTCCCCAAGTGTCAGGGTGACTCACTGGTCACATAGCCCCCTTCCCTGGCAGGGAGCCTTCACCCCTGTGCCTGGGCCACCACTGACCCATTCCGGCTTAGTCTCTGTTCCTTGTCCCTCCCACGAAGACTCCAGCAGTGTCGGTGTCCTTGTGGACATCTCCCTACCCAGAACCTCCTTGTGCACGTGCTTGTTTCCAGGGAGAAGCTCCCAGATCTGGGGCTGGGTGGCTGGTGCTCTGCGGTGGTGTGCTGTTCACTTTGATACATGGGGAGGCGGTTCTTGAGTTGTGGCACCAGGCCTCTTCCTGCTGAGGGTCTGCGCCGTTGCCCACTGGTCTGCCTCACGCCTCGGTCACT